AAAATCCCAAAGACGGTTAACTCAAACTCGTAAACGTAGCAAAGGGGGATCATTACTGGTGTCGGTCACAAGTCTGTTTTGAAAATATATTTCTTAATTGACTTCAAAAAAAGCAAAGGTGCATTCGTCTGTAAGTTCTTTTTTATATTTAATGTCGCAATACCTTCGTCAGTTGAGAACCTTGTGCAGTGTACTCACGAAGTGTAGACATGAACAAAGCTATTGAACTTGATGGTATACCAGCTATAGTTTTAAAGGTCTATGCGCCTGGGTCGTGTCTTGTCTTTGAACGTAGCCAATATGCAGCCTGAGCCTAAAAAGGGCAGCCGTGCCGAAACTGACAACTATCGGCCTATTTCAGTTACCTCCATACTTTGCAGGATACTGGAGCGCATTTAATGCCCCTGATTAAGGCACACATAGAGCAGAATATCCGCCTTAGTGACCGCCTATACCGGTTTCGCCAAAATGTATCAACTGAAAACTTTCTAGAGTATACCGTTTGAGCTAGGCCCCCGAGAACAAAAAGTACCCTGGGTTTCTTGCTGGTTCTTTCCAGTACAAAGGTTTTTTTTGAACCTGTGGTACTTTCAATAAGAATAACATACATGTAATCTACATTGAATAAAAAACTTATTATTTATTCCTTTCAACAGTGAAGAAGCATTGGCTGTTTGATGCCTCGCAGGTTTTTGACAGGTGTTTGACACTCTAGCCTCTCGCCTGATTGACTAGGTGACAGACCCTCTGAATGAAGGAACTCTACGAGATATCGACGATAGCTGCTCGAATCCTGTTGTGACAAACGCCGGAGTTTCACATGGGTCCATTCTCTCCGCAAATAAAAATGTCTGTATATTTGTCCTTGTTTAATTTATGTAAACTGCCTTCATGATACAGGAGAAAATCCTGGTAGTAACTTGATTCGTAATCGAGGATTGATATAGGGCTACACTATGCGCTACAGAAACCACTTACCAACAGGTGAACTGTACTGTGTACGTTTGTCAACCTTATCCTATATACAAAAAAGTTTCTCATATATCCTTTCTACTCAATTTAAATCACAATCTCCATACGTTTTATTTATAGTCCTGACACGTCTTTTAATTTTTGGCTCCTACACAGAGCTTTTTGTTGATTTACATCATACGAGTACTGTTTAAATGAAACTACTACTTACTAACTTACGGGGCGTCACATGTATATCTATCAAAATTATAAACAATTTGAATGTGAATTTGAATCTGCTCCACTCTGCTCCAATTTCTATCTTCTATCTTCCATTTTGCTCCATAATAATCCATTCTGCTCCGGGCTGATCCGTTATTTTTAATCTTCTCCATTCATCTTTCATCTATTTCACTCTGCTTTATTCTTCTCCATTTTGCTCCCCTTTTCCCCCGTTCTGCTTCATTCAGCTCTGTTTTACTCCATTCTACTCAATCTGCATAGTGGTTTTGGTGTGGTCGAAATTCAATTGCAATTCGTGAATTTTTTTAAGGTTTGAATATTAAGCTAGCTGTATTTACCTTTAATAAATAAAAAACAGATATGTATTTAAATATAAAAAATGTTTTTTTTGCCTTGATACTCCACATACTATTGACAAAAATATTTGAAATCACACAAAATTCAATAGTATATAATAAACTTTTGTATGAACGTCAACTACAGACGTGCCTGTAACACCTAGAACTTCATTTTGCGTGGCCACTAAACGTAGTGGTTATATACTCTTTGGTAGTCTTAGTTTTTTCTTTACTGGTTGTTATTAAGAAGATGCACTTGCCCATCTTCTGGTTTGCTTCCTCTTTCGCCTCTTATGACACTTGGCGCAAATATGAGTCTCTAAGAGATGACTACATATTTGAGCCATTTGCTGTAGAGACTATCGGTCCGTGGGGTCCACGTGAGGTGAAGTTTCTAAAAGAACTCTATCTGGAACTGGTCATTGCTGCTGGTGATAAGAAGGCTGGTTTTTTACCGATTAAAGGCTAAGCATAGCCATTCAGCAAGGAAACGCAGCCAGCGTTATTGGTACTATACCACGGGGCATAGACGTGTATAATAATTAAGTCATTAATTTTATTATTTTTTACTATAGTGTTTCAATGTTATATATTTAAGATTCTTATACGAGTTAATGTCTTCATTTATAAATAAATTATAAATTACCAATTTAATCATGAACACTTTATAAAAAAATCATCTCTTTTTATATAGGATAGGATAACAAACGAACACACAGTCCACCTGGCCCATAGACACCTACATCTATCCTCGATTACGAATCAGATGAAAGCAGGTGCGTTTTCATCAAAATTCCGCTCAAGACAATATTTTCTCGGCGCAAGTTAAGCAACAATAACAAGGCGGCCCCTGCCAGGCTATCCGTGAATTTCTGCAATATGAGGGAACTTCATGCGAACCTTAACGCCGCGCCGTCCACTACCATCTCGAGACAGCGAAGCCAGCTCTGCTCTTTCTGACCGACACGTAGATATCATCTCCGGCTGATGCTTCGTATCTCTCCTACGTGGGGTACAAACTGGAACACACCTTTGTGCCTCGGGCTGAAGTTTGCGTATATGTCAGAGAGGATATCTGTTCTCGACGCTTTGGCAGTCCATCTTTTGGCTACGAGTAGACAGCGAAGATCATCCGCGCATCTACAGGTGCCTCTATGTGTCTCATAGCGGTAATGCCGAAACAGACCGACTCTTCGACTACGTCCAAATGGCTACAGATTCATTGCTACAGCAGATCTTCTCCACAGAGATCGTGATCCTTTAACGCCTACCACGCCAAATGGCTTGGTTTACATTTAAAGTCCGCTTCGAGTCCATCGAGTAGGGGGGGCGGGGGTTCCCCAAGTCCCTCGCCTCTGACTCATTCATGGGGGCTGGCAAAGGGCGTTGTCCGCCCTTTTCCTGCGCCCGGTGCGCCTTCTACGGCCAGGGAAGGGAACCGAGATCTCCCTCTCCCGTTCCACAGTTTCCTTCTACGACATCACGTCCTCACAAAAGGACACCACTGCGTCCCACGATTCTGCGCTACCGACCATCCTCCGCACCAAGGCCGACAGTGACAGATTGCCTCCTACTTCATTCGTGAGGATACGGCGCTGCTCTTCCCAAGCTACACACTCGGCGAGCGTGTGTTGCGCCGTGTCCTCCCCGCAATGGACGTAGTGGTGGCACCGAGCGTCCGGCTCCCTGTCTATGCAGCATAGGTACTTGCCGAAGCAGCCGTGCCCAGACAGCACCTGCGTCACCCTAAACGACAGGTAGCCGTGCCTTCTTCCGAACCAGTCGTCGAGTACTGGCCGGATCGCCTCGACGATAGCGAGGCCGGCAGTAGGGCGCAGAAGCCTTTGCCGTCATTCCGCCACTAAGACTTGACGGAGCTCCTCTCGGCGCAGCGCGATCTGTCGCTGCACCGGCCTCGAGTCCCGTCCCCGCTCTTTCTCGCGCCATCGGTATAATGACGCGAGTACTTTCGCCTCTAGGTCCCAGGGCGGGGATCCGGCCAGTACGCAAGCCGCCTCTTAGTAAATCGTGCGATACGCCGATTCAGCCTTCACTCCTTCCACACACTGGGAAGCTGACCCTGCTCGAGACATTCCGTGAAGAGTCCCCTCAGCTGGGGCTCCAGCTCCTTCAGAGCCAGGACGAGAGCTCGACCAGGAACTTCGTCGAGTCCGGGTGCTTGTGCTTGGCCCGGAGTCGCGCCACAGCTGCTCTCATCTCTGCTTGCGTCACCTTGGGGACATCGGTGCTCTCCTCTTCTGAAGAGTCTGTGGCTGAGGGCGAAGCCATCGCGTGTCCCACTCGTTCAGAGAAGAGAACCGATACTACCGTCTCTAGCAACTGGGGTAGCATGGTTTGCGTTAGTGAAGGCGCTCAGGAACGCAACTTGCCCCGTACCCAACGGTAGCCCAGGGCGCCCCTACGGATCCCGATCTAGGGACCCCAGCAGCTCCTCGCCGGCACGCGACTTCGAGTCGCCGATGGCCAGCCACAGAGTCTCCTTAGACGTGCGGTACACCTCATACAGCGTGTCCTCCTCATCGGAATCCCGTCGACGCTGTCTCCGGTATCGGGTGTACCGGCAACGAGCCGCAACGCACGCTATGCGCAATTGCGCGATCTCGGCGGTCCACCAGTACACCTGGTGCCTTGCGGACCGTTGGTGGACACGGGGCATGGACGCGTCGCGGATTGTGTCATCGCCCCGCGAAACCATAGCGCCACTGCTTCGACGTCGACGGGGCCGCCCGTCGCCGACTCCCAGATCCAAGACTGGACTAAGGCAGCTTCCTCGAGTAGTTCCCTGTCGATGCGCTTAAGCGCCCAACGCGGACAGTCGTTTATCGGGGTTGTTGGATGGCGGCCGCTCGCAGTCTGGGCAGAGACGTCGAACCGGATATACCGATGGTCCAACAACGTCTCCACCTCTACGGCGACACGCCAGTCGTAGACTCGGCTGGCCACAGAGGGGCTAGCGAGCGAGACATCCACTATTGACCTACCTCGCTGCCTCACGAACGTGTATTCCGAACCCCGATTCAGGACGACCAGACCAGTGGTTACTGTCCACTCTTCTAGCACCTCGCACCGAGGGTCAGTGACCGGAGATCCCCACGCTGATGACTTGGCGTTGAGATTCCCGAGCACCAGAACTGGACGAGGGTGATAGCGGCCTACGACGGCGCCCAACTCGACAAGGAAACCCTCAAAAGCGGCGAGACTCTTGTTGGGGAGAAATACGTCCCCACAATAACGATGCCGCCCAAGACCGCAGCTAACCCAGCCGCGGCCCCGAGACGGGTCGATCAGAGTCTCGCCAATAATGGCCACCAAACCGTCAGTTGATTATGCCCTGGAGAAAATGGAACTTTGCCATTATTGACATTCCATTCCCTCGGCAACAGTTCTGGGCCGCGGAGCTGCTGGCCTGTGTTGGCAGCGAGGTTAACCCGGCAGGCTTGGTGCTCCTCATCTTTTCCTTTTTGTTTTTAGCCTTGGCCTTGCTGGCAGGCGCCCCACAGGCCCTACGCCTACTCTGTGCTCCGCTGGCCTTTCCGCAGCAGAGTAAAGGCTGCAGTTGAACGCCGCGGTGCACAGGGCCGCCTTGTGGCCAGACTGGCCGCAGCGATAACAGAGGTCATTAAGGTCAACGTCGGCGGTGCACTTTGCCCGGACGTGCCCTTTTTCCAGGCACCGGAAAAACTGCAAGGAGCCCGGGCTCACTTCGCCGCCCATGCCGCGCCCGCCGACGCCGCGCGGCCCACTCTTCGCTTCTGGCAACGGCCGCCACCACCTCCTCAGAGGTCACGGAGTCGTCCAGGCCAACAATCCGCACTTCTGCGGTTTTCATTGGTCTGGAGACCCAGACGTCCTCAGGGTTAAGGACCTCTCTCATATTGGCGGCCAATGCGTCCGCCTTTTTGGTACTGTCGCTTACAGTGCCAGCCACCTCGAACAGCCGCGCACCCGTGGCAGCCTGCCTGAGGGTGACGGACTGAAGGCCAAGATCTGATAATTTGATCTTGGCCTTGGCCTCAGCGATTACCGACCGTCACGCCACGCTCCACAGCTCCGGGCTGCAATGTTAGTCCCGCACCGGAACCGCGGCCTTCTTACGGTCCACGACTTTCGCCCATGTCTCACCCTTAGACCCGGCTGTCGTGGGCTGGTCGCTCGGAGGAGCTCCCTCCGTGGGCTTTTTGTTACCCTCCGCGGGCTTCCCGTTTTGAGGCGCAAGTCTCGGCGGCTCCTCAGTCCTCCGCGTGTCAGTCGCCAAAGGCGGACGGAAGATTTCCACCGGGAGACGCCGAGAAATCGCCTCCAGCCGATCGTTGACCATGCTCCCGCACTGGAGCATGCAGAGCCGGACAATGCGCTCGACCTCTTCGTCGGTACGAGGGCTTGCCGGTTGTGGTGCGGGAGTCGGGGCCATTACAGGTGCGGCATGGGTGGACGTGCATCTCTGCTGCTGCTCGCTCAGCGCAGCGACTTGCCGCCGGAGGTCCTCTAGGTCATTTCTGAGGCGGCTGTTTTCCTCCTGTAGCTTTGCGACCTCGTCAGAGGCCGTCCTGTTGAGGAGGATGCCAACCGCCTCCCTGATATCCGCGGCAGCCTCCTTTAAGCCACGGGTGAACGTGCCCTTCAGGCTGCCGGACTTGGTGGCAACTTTCAGGATTAAGTCCACCCCATCCAGAGCCAGCTGGCTCAAGGCCACCGCAGATGGCTCTCCTTCTTCCGCCACCAGAGCAGCTCGTCGTTCGCGAGCGCGTCGGGCCATTTCACACTTCGTCGGCTGCGACGGCTTTGCGCTGTTCCTTCTTGGCGGCGTTGAGCTCCGCCTTTGAACTCCCCATCGAGGCACAGCTTTCACCGCCATCGCCAGGGTCTTCCGTAGTGACCCCCATGTCACTCTCTGCTTCACTAGCCGCCGAGGTATTGGAGCACATGAACCGTCCGTGCTTATCCCTCCGCGGCTTCAAAGCACTCACCTCCCTCGATGCCTGCCGACCCCTACTCGAAGTCGGCAGCTTGGAGGCCGGCAGGCCTTCCTCGTTCGAAGACCGGCACACTGGACGTTTCCTAGCGGAAGACGTCCCACGCGGCCGATTTCCACCGCTTCCCGTATCAGATCCATCCTCTTTGACTGTTTCTACATTTTTAAAAGATTTATCCATTTTTTTTCCCACGAGTGTGGAGGAAGTAACAGTCCATCCGAGCAGCGCCTCTTTTGCCCGGGTAAGCCTATGCGTAACCCGTCAAGGGTGTCGGCCGGTACCCTGACGAGGGGCTACGCTAACGACTGAACATTTACCCATCAGCCATGCAGCTCCTCACGGCATGCCACGCTTGAGCTTCGGGTGATTTTTATAGAGGTTATTATCCTCGTGACTCCAAGCTATTAAGCCAAGAGCCATCAGCCCCTCAGGCGCCGCGAGACATGATCCACGACACGCCAAAGGAATTCCGAGGTTCGAACTATGTCAGAGTCGATACGAGATCTTCCCATGCCTGCCCAGAGACCGGGTGAGGGAACTCTGAGCCCATTCAATTCCCGCGATGACGGGTTGCCCGGCGTCGGCAAAAGCCAAGTGCACCTGGCATATCACCGCGCATGTCACATCCTCTGTTCCTCTCAATGGAGAGGATACGGGAAGCAACTAGCAGGTTCTTGATTCCATTTGGAACCAAAGGTACGCCCAAACCCAGCCAGTTTTAGTCTGCGACGGTTTCCCGCTACCACTCATATCTGAGTGGCGTTCCCCCATCCGTCACCTGGGGACGCCCCCTAGGGACGAACTCAACTTATCCTAACTTAACTTAATGTAACTTAACCTACACCCAGCCTCACATAGTGAAACCAAGGTGGAGTTCTCCTAGTGCTGGTGTTTGCACCATTCCAAGTTCTCCAGTGAGAGCTATTCAGCTTCACAGCCAATGTGCTGAGAAGGGTGTTGGAGCTCCTTAATAGCGTGCTCATCATGGACGCAGCACGCTTGCGCATGATCGCTTAGAAGTCGTCCACACAAGCATCCGCAGACATTGCCGACGCACTGCAGTGTCGAGGCCTCCTCAACATCACCCTCAGCACCAATGACAATACAAAAATTTGTACTGAACACGCAGAGCATTGTAAGCTCTCTGCGTATAGATAGTCCACAGACACCACATGGAAAAGGATTGGCAATACGCCTTGAACAAAGTTAACTTGACTTGAGTCGTAACTACGTGCAAATCTGCGAGCCAACTTATTGCCCCGGACCGACAACGCTCGGCGCTCTTGTTCAATGTCGCTGTCGTCATTCAGGCGTTCAGTTACAACATGTCAAAGGCACCTATACTGAGCCACTTGTCTCAGAGCCGTGCCACATAGCTGGATACATGGTTTGCAAGTGGTTTGTTTTTACCTCTGAAGACAATAAATTCACTCTTTTTTGAATTGTAGCTGAGTCCAGTCTCCTCAGCATGTTCTTCACAAATTCTCAACAGTTTACGAAGCTCGCTGACTGAGGGGCTCAACAGAACCATGTCGTCTGCGTAACTAAAGTTATTTATCGAAACACCATCTATTGAGCAACCGACACCTGCTCTGCTGAGCCTCTCTAATAAGTCTGTTAACATAAAGATTAAACAGCCTGGGTGACGTCAGTCCTCCCTTCCTTACTCTGCACCCTAGTTTATAGGGGTCACTAAAGGCGTTACCCCATCTAACTGTGTTAGTCTGATTACCGCACCAATATTCCAGCAGTGAAACCAACTCTGGTCTTAAGCTACTTTCCTGTCTTAGTTTCCGCCATAGGATTCTGTAAGACACACGGTCGAAGGCTTTAGATAAATCCAGGAAACACGCATACACCTGAGTATTTCTGTCCGTGTAGTACCGCACAGTCTGCTTGAGACACAGTATTGCGCTCTCCGTTGATAGTTCGTGCCCATTTAAAGCTTACGTGGTAGAGGTAGAACCACGCTGCAAATATATTATCATTGTAGCATAAATGAGTCGACTCGAACTGACAAGAATCTTGCTCTCAAAGAATACCAGTGTAAAATAGCAGCTTAATGCTGCTATTTTCCGTAATACGTACTCTTAGTTTTCCAAGCAAACAAAAGATTTTGATTCTTAATCAATAGATGTCTATGAGCCACAGTATTCACTTACCGTCAGGTGGACTGTGTGCTCATTTATTGTCTATTCAGTCAGTCAGCCAGACTATTTCACCGATCGGTAGCTAAGGAACAAATGTCACCCTGATGACCAAAATCGACTTGATGAATAATGTCACTCTCATGTCTAATGTTATCTGGATAACTAATGTTATTCTAATAACAAATGTCACCCTGAGGACAAATGTCACACAAAGCCTGATCTAAACTTCACCCCAATGATCAATGTTACCCTGATGACTAATGTCACTCTGTTGACTGTAATGTTGACTATAACGGCCACGTTTACGTTTCGTAGGTTTCTACTGGGCCATCGTCTGTAGTAACATCGAGGCGTTAAATTTATTCGAGTCCATTGTAGCAAAGTCCCTGAATTCATTTTAGTAAACTATGATAAAATCGTCTGCTAGTGACGAAGGTTAGACGTTGTTAGAAAGGAAATTATATTGGCAATCACTTGAGCGGAAAAGGGTAGCCTTCTCGACAATTTCGATAACTAAAATGTCCTATATTTGTTTCATTAATCTTGTTGTTTTTTCATGGGTGTTAACCGGTACTAGGAATTACGAATTTGACCGATATAATTTCATGCATCTATATATTCACATAAAATTGAAATGTCTGTAATATCGAACTGACTTCTATAAACTTAGAGGGTTGTTTACATGCAGCGTAAAGACCTACACAACTATTTTTAAATGTTTGTCTATCTTTCTGTTTTCGCTAATCTTCGGACATATATTGAATGTATACAAAGATAGCACGCATTCATAGTGTTCTTACACTGTATATTTTCAGAATGTGTATCAAATAAAATTTTCAGAAAATATACACGATCATGGGCGGCGGTGTTCAATTAACATCAGGTGAGCCGCATGCTCGTTTGGCGCCCTGTTCTATAAAAAAACTTCCCGCAGCGCGCAAGCTCTTACTGAAGTAACTTCAATGGTCAATAGACAAGATATGTTATATAATCTACGTAGTATATAATACATTTATATACTATGTAGATTATATAACATATATTGTCATATATAAAAATATATATATATATATATATATATATATACTTTCTTTGACTTACTTTTTTTTATCACGGAATTATCAGGAGAACAGGAAGTAATTATAAGTTTAAATTTAATATTAGTGTTATTTTGTTATACAAATATACATACAAATACTATCAACACACATTAATAACATACACTCGCTTACATCGCGGCTTATGCTCGATGTATGTTTTAACTAGTGCAGTATGTTAAAAGTATACGCGATAAAAGCGTAATGACCATGTATAGTTTCTAAAAATAGTTATGCTCATAACAAATTTAAACTATACAGTCTTTGTCTGTGCGTAACTAAACCAATTGTTATGAAACTTTACAAAGAAATAGATTGTAACGCCAGGAGGGATCTATGCTATACTTTATTTTAAAACCTTTTTTTACTGTCACATTTTATTTATGTAGAATAAGGGTGACTAGCGAGCACACAGTCTACCTGATAGTAAGTAGGGGCTATGTGAATTTACGTGAAAAGAATGGCCCATAGACATTCGAATTTACCCTCGATTG